GGGTGCCACCAAACCCGGAGGGGAAGGCCGTGACACTGAGATAATAGAATAAAGCCAAGTGCGCCGGTTCTGACCACCGAATCGGGTGGTAAACGTCGCCGCCTTTGGTGGGAGAAACCGGTGGGGCAGCTGCCATTTTTGGTGGTTGTAGAACCACTCCCTTCATCCTTCGTTACGTGCACACCCTGCCTGCCTGGCCCTGCCTGCCTCTCTCACATAAAAGAAGACGCCTGGCCCTTCGCTCTCCAACAACTTTCCTTTCTTTGTGCTCTTCAGCCATGGCACTTCACCGCGACATTGCAGAGGCCCTTCAGAGGGCCGCGAGGCGGCGTCACCGAGACACTGCGCTGCGCAAGGAAGCACAGAAGAATGCGCTTGTGGCCGAGGACTACCATACCCTGCAGAGGCAGCTGAACAGCACCCAGTTCATCCAGCCGCTCGATGCAGCCACGACCAAGTCGAATATTTACTATATCAAAAAAAGATTCATTAGGTGAGTCGTTAGCCATCGTGCTGTATCTGCCAAAAGCATCTACGCTGATCCTGTAAGATTTTGCCATGCGAATAAACACGGCGACTGGCGCAAGGCGCTGCAACCGCAGCACTGCGACAAAGGCTTCATCATGACCTTCCTTCACTGGATATGCGAATCATACCTGCAACCAAGACGCAAGAGGTCGAAGAAGAAGAGCGTCAATCAATACTGGCGCGATTTCAAAATGCTTTACCGCCGCTGTAATGACGGCAAGATTGTCAACCCAAACCATTGCGAGGAAATCAGAAAGGTTCGTGACCTCGAGCCTGACCTTTCACTCCGTATCATACTAATAGTCGCTAGTATATCAATGACAAACTCAAAACAAAGTTCAACCTAGATGACGAACCTGGATCTAAGCCCGTCCTGAGCGTGGACGATCTGCTTCTCGGCCTCACGCATCATTGGTCGCGCGACCGGAGTGTGTTCCCTACTGAGGATGACCGCCTGGATGTTGCAGCCATTATGCTTTTTCAGGCATACACGGCATGCCGGCCCGCGGAGCTTGTCGATGGGACGAAACGAAGAGGGACTGGAGACCCGTTGCTGGATGACTCGGGTGTGGAAGATACGTCGAGCAGCAAGGCTGCGGAGAATTGCGCAGTGCGAGGTGGCAGGCGGCAACAACGCAAATCGGCCTCCGCCACCGGCAGAATGAGCCGGCAGCGAAATTCAACCCGCAGATCAGGCCCTGCGTCCGAGTCTGACTCTGATTCCGATGATTTTACTCTTGACAGCGGGGAGGAAAGCGACGACGGGGAAATCGACACCCACCAGGACGATACGAGCGACACGGAGTACAGCGATGATGGTGAAGAAGACATCGACATGCTTCAGACAGAACCAAAGCCTGACCAGCTAGCTGGCAATGCTAAGAAGGACGAGGATCAAGAGGCGATTCGGCTGCATAAAGCATTATGCTATGAAGACATCGTCCTCTGGGTCGTCAGGGACCCGAATGGTGGGGGCCGCGATGTACTGGCCATGGAGGTGTTCTTTCGCCACCATAAAGGCGCAGAGAAGAAGCCCAAACCGTGTGTATTACGCGTTATTCATGATTGCAAATTGGGTTACTGAACAACTGAACAGGACTATTTTTCTATTTCGCGAGAACCCGTTACCCATTCTCTGCCC